GGGTAGGTGGGCGAGGGGCATCGGAGGAGCTGCCGGGGGACCAAGGGGAACAGAAGCGGGGCAGCGATGGCAGAGGAAACAACCCTGGGCGGCTCAGGGGGCCCTAGGGTCAGGGCGGTACCTCAGGCAGCACAGCCCCCACCAAGGAGCGTTTCTGAAAGAGCAAGCCGAAAGCTTGACATGAAGCAAAAGCATGAAGTCGAGACAAGTGGCTGGGAACTGAAAAAAGATTACATGAGGAAGCACGCTAGGCAAGAGAGGGACGTAGTCCGAGCTTAAAAAGAACACGCTTGCACAACAGAGGTCAACCAGCAAGTGAAATCCAGCTTGTCCTGTTTAACCTGGCAAGAGATGTTACCAAATAAAGGGAGGGGCATTACGAGAAAATAACTCCTTGGCTGTTTTGAATTGAAGTCATATAAGCTAGTAACTGTTCTAAAAAAACATTATGATAATAACTTGAAGGGATCTTTGCATTTCAAAATAAAAACAGTATGAAAACTTAACCTAAAGTCTATGTGGCATCTTTTGAAGAAGGCTCTAGTAGAGCTGTGACTCAGCTGTGGAAGAAAGAATGGCAATTTCCTACTTGAATCTTACCTTGCTATCCATGGTATTTGAAGAGTAATCCACAATTGATTTTTTTAAAAAGTAAAATCTATTGAGAGACCACGTAATTCTGCATGTTTAAAACAGACGTCATTATTTCACTATTCGACTACACGGCGGGAAGATCTATGAGAAAATGAAGTGGCACAGAAGTATTGCACGTAAAAATCTGGTTTTACATGAGCATTCTGACACAAATACCAAGTTTCAGTAGGTTGTATGTGTAAGAAATGCACTTAAAAGGCATTTTTAGACCAAAGGTGATGCCTCGCCATTAACCAAATAGAACTATTTGTCACTTTAAGGAAAAAACAAACATACAGCTCTACTAGACTATTCTCTATTATTGATATTGGTTTGATTGATGAAATGCAATACCTTACACTGCACAGCTGTGTACTGATTTGTGAGTCTGCATGTACAACATCCTATGTTCCTACATAGGAAAACGTGCAGAATATGAAAAAGGATGACCCTGTTCTAACAAAAAAAGCTAACAGCTTCCAGTTTTAAGTGTATCCCCTTTATAAACTACTACTCCTGCAAGTAGCTAGCTAGCAGCTCTATACAGTAAAAGTACGAAAGGTCTACTGCTTCCCTCTCAGAAACAGGGAAGCATTAGGAGTAAGAAACAGGAATTCAGCAAGAAACAAAACTTACTGGTTGGGGCCTTCCCCCTGCCCACTCTTAGAGCCACAGTCATCTGCCTAGATGGTTATTTTTAGTGCAGGCTCCTGTTTAAAGGGAAGGAAGGAAATGCCCGAATTGGAAAGCCCAAATCAGTACATGAACAGGTTAAATATTCTAACAACAACAACAACAACAACAAAAGTCTCTTATCAAATCAAGGGTAATATAAAATACAATTCTTGGTAACGGATCTTACTTGTTTGTGGTCTCCCACTTCTTTTCAGCGCATACTAATGAAAACAATGATACTTCATATTTTGTACTCTCTTATTCCAGACAACACTGAATGGCAATTATCCAGGATGTTTATCAGACCACTAAGGCCATGTGTTAACACGTAAAGCATCTTCCCACAGTAAAGTCCATTTCAATAACTAGCATACACAGTTTTGTTGTATAAATATAGGTATTCCCCCCTCCCATGCGCTCTGTGTAACTTCTGAAGAACATTTCTATCACAGAATGTATCACACTATGGCACCTTGCACTGAATACCCAGTGGCAACGTAAGTACTTTGCTAATGGGTCTCATGCTCAGTAAACTCAATTTGTGCATTCATTCATGTAACACGGCGTGTACTAAACCACACAGTAAAATGTTACGTTGGCAGAAAAGGCTTTTTTCTACGCCAAATTTGCCAAGTTTACCTTGAAATAATTCTGTTACTGCATGTCAAAAGACAAACAGTTAGCAAAGGAAAGTTACCCGCTGTATTAAGGATCTCTCAGGAGTGTGCAATTGGTGTTCTACCCCCCAGCATCACATACACAATACATTCTGTTATCACTGAGCAGCAGTAACACTGATTTGAGTAAAAGGTAAACACTGTGACTTTATAAGGCAACATTTTGCATTCTGAAAGAGGAAAATTTAAGTACTTGCAGAAGCCAAGCCAGAGATGCTACAGTGAACATTCCTTCCTCCTTCCACTACTGAAGAAAACCTCAACTTGCACAAAATTAGTTTTAATATGCCACAACTGCTTCTAAATACTTATTTACCTGGATAATTAACACTCCAGCTTAACTTTTAGATGTGTTCCTCACCCAGATGCCTTTAGTCTCCTGAGGAAAAGTACAAGCTTCTGCATAAATAAAGTAATAGGTGAATATATAGCTTTGGTGTAGGGCAGAAGAAAATACACTGAAGTTTCAGAACCTGGGCTTTCACTGAAGGATCTCAACAAGGACATTGGGCAATCTGTCACACACAGTGGCATTACAATGTATTTGTCACATTTGGCTTTACTACTACTACTGACTGAGAGAATGCCACATTAGCAGGGCAAAAAGCACTCCCTCTTCTCTGCATTTACTACAAACAGAGCAGGTTTTGAGTTTATTTAAAATGTGGAGAATTTTTGGTAAATGCTGATGCAAAACTGTATGGTGAGAATGGGGAAGTGATTTCTTAGGGTAATATCAAGTTGCAGAAAAAATAAGAGGAAGATTGCAGCATATAAGTATGTAAAACTAAATATTCCCATACAAACTCATACAAACATCTGAGCATTACACTTCAAGTTAATAACAACATTTTGTGGTGTGTATTGTAGGGATGAGAAAGAACAGACTGGGATCACATCTGCATTTGCTGGCTTCTGGTCACCTGTCAAAGCAGGAGGTAGTTTAAAAACCCCCCACCCCTGATCTGTGAACGCTTTGTTCATTCAGAAAACAGTGTTAAATATAATTGCATGCTGCACAAGACTCCAAAAGAATGTCAGCCCTTAAATCAAATATATACATTTTTAATATTTGAAATATTTACATGGTGGAACCTTTACACGATCCCATTTGTTAAGAACAGTGTTTTCAAGTGTCCTCTCCAGATACAAAGAACTGGTAACTCAAGGTCACAGTTATGTTTTCTGAACAGGTCAACCTGTATCCTTCAGTTAAATACAATATAGAGATACTGGAACACCTTTACTTAATTTGTTTGCTCTTAAGAATTGTGTTTAAAAATTAAAAATGTTTTTGAGATAGTTTGCTCCCAGGAACACAGTCCTCCTGCAATCAGAACAGCTCGCAGCACATTATCGATTTGTCTTCTTACCCAGGTATGAGATAAAAAATGCAGTTTACAGTACATCTCAATTTATACCATACCAGCCTATTTATAAAAACCCATATGAACAAGGCAGGAAAACCTCACCCTCTTTTTGTGGACAACAGATTGCTTACAGTAGAAAACAAAAGTTGGGGCTAGTTTAACAGTATGGATAAAAACAAGACTTCAGCTTTGTTTGGGAACTTGTAATTCAGATTTTGTCAACTGCTATGGTCAGTGACATCCAAACAGGTATTTTTTTCCAAATAGTAAAAAAAAATACTTAAAAAATAATTTCTTTAAAAAAAAAAATCCATCTGATTAATTTGGAGACAGAAGGGATAATAGGGAACAGCTAAAATGAAACTGAGCAGAAGGTATCCTAGGTTTAAACAAAAAATAAATCATTAAATAGCACTTACTGAATTGAGATCCTGCTCTTGTTTTAACTGAGCAAAGAATAAAAAACTTCCTGCAATTTGCACTTTCTATGAAGGAAGCAGAGTATCTGCAGGAGATTAAGTTCCCAGCTTCATTAGTAATTAAATGGACAACAAAGTACCAGGACTGCTGCTGGCTCACATCAGAATGAAAAGTCTGAGGGAACTCCTTTTCCATCCAGAGTCAGATGAGGGGACTCAATGAATACACAAAGCTGTTCTGTGATGGTAGCTCAAGCCACCTTTTTTCCCCAATTGTATTCTGATCATTCCTTAAATAAAAAGAGGGAGAGTATGCAAAAGAAAAAAAAAATAAACCAAAACAAACCGCTGATAAATTTGCCATAAAATCATTTGTCTTCATCTGTAACTGAAATAGTTCCACGTTAAGTGCAAACATTTTGCAAAACAGGGGCTTTCTTTTTTCCTTAATATTTACAAGAATCAAAGTAACATAACAAAATTACCAAGAGAGCATGTACAGTAGCTGCAGCTTATAAAACATACCAGTAATTGTACCTTGTGAATTATTAAGAGAACCAATGCAGGATTCAGATACCTAACTGAGAAGGGGAACGGGGGCCTCAGAGCAGAGGACAAAAAAATTCACATTTTCTACATAAAAAAATACAGGTCTCAAGTCTCTGAGAACAGAGAAAATTCAAAGTCTTTGAATGATGGGGGAAAAAAAAAAAAAGAGAAGCCCAAAATTGAAATGGGACCCTAGAAGAGAGGAGAGCACTTTATTTCACTAGACCAATCTTCTTTGCTTCTGTCTCGTATATCAACAACCTCCACATTTTGACTATGAAAACTTCAGCTTCTTCATCTAGTACCTGTTGGGAATACACATTTTATAGTTATTTTTTAGGTCAGGCACTTCAGTTATGAAGACTAATGCTACACACATCAGACTGCAAAGTGGAGGTAGCGTCATACAAGTTAAACCTGAGTGAGGCACTGCATTGAATTTGTCTGTCCTGCATTTATCACCCTACTTGACTAGGCTCTAATTATGTATTTGTATAATGCAGCTGCTGAGCACTAGGAGATAAAGAGTACCACTATCCTCGTCTCCATAAATGGCTTGGAAAGAAAGAGAAATAGCAGGCTTGGGAAGAATGCAAGAACAGGACATACACATGTGGTATTTTCCCTTAACTCCTTCCTAGTCTCTGTTCATTTTCAGCTTGGAGCTTCCTTGAATGTTTATTAAGTAATCCCCAGACCTATTTCTCTTCCTTGAGCTCATTATCCAGGCTTTTCTTGAATCCATGCAAACTTCTAGCATGCACACCGCATCTCAGGAAGTTCGCCAGGTCACCCACTGGTCACACCTAGCACAACCCACTAACTTGCAATATGAATCTGGCTCCTATGACCAACTTTGCCTCCAAGTTTCCTTATAGGAAGAGAGTGAACAAGTAGTTTTTATTCACCTTTCAGTGCATGAAAACATGGTGAAACAGCTTTATTTAATAAACTTTCTCTCTTCCAACACCAGGCAAAAAAAGTTTTTACTCTTCTACACAAAATTACCTTTTGCTCACTAATTAGGAATAGACCACTAATTATAAAAATCTAGTTACAAGACTGAGACGGAATAGAAGTTTATACTTCTGATAACAGTTCTGTTGCTGTTGATTCTTACCTCTACTGTTAGGGACAGAATTGTTTGTTTCACTTTTCTAAATAATGAGAAATTCTGAACAAAGATCATGAATATCTACCTAGATGTTGTAACTCCAAATTCATGTCCGTGCTAACATGATCGGTTTAATCAAAACGGCTTTCACATCTAATGCACGTCTTCTGTGCATGCTATGTGAATGCCAAATATTTCTGTTATAGACTGCTACAGTATTGCACAATTGACTCTTAGCTTCAATATAATGTAAACAGTATACCAGTTACACAATTTCTGCTTACCATGGCAACATCATCCAGTATGCTCTGTGGTGAGCTGTGAGCCATGACCTGAAAGAAACAAATGTTTTTAGACTGAAAACTCAAGAGTAAGCCACACAAACATCTTTGGAGAAAAAAGCAGTTACTTCCCAGTATTAGCCAGGGCAAAAATACACATTAAACTACATCAGATTCCATCATATGAATGCTAGTTTATGGCTGGTTACTGAGGAACAAGTTCCAGGAAGCTCCAGAGATTCAACAGGTCCTGTATTTGCTGGCTATTCTTAAATCTCCAATTAAGCTTTTCCAATTTAAGGAAGAAGCTCCCCTTCCTTCAACAGTGAATTCCTAATGGAAGACAAAGGCAAAATTCTGCCTGTATCATTCTTCCTAACTGAATTTTCTATTAAGTATTCTAATCATATTATTCTTTTTCAGAACCAAATAAGTTGTCTGTCAAAACTAAAAAGTGGCAATTCTTAAAACATTTAATTTTAGATTGGCAAATATTCAACTTCTGCTTTTCACTTTCTAACCACCTGTGCCACAAAACTGTCACTTGCTTTGCCTCTCACATGGCAGCCCTAGAAGATAAACCAAGACAAACCATTATGAATTAAGTACCATGAAAGCTGAAAAGTTTTTGAAATTCCCTATTGACAGAAAGCCAAGAGTTGTCATGACAGATTGAAAAAGAAAAGTTACTAGAATTTAATTTGTAATTTGATGGAAGAAGCTGCACAGTTTCAGTTAATAGAATTTAGTTTGTAATTTGATGGAAGAAGCTGCACAGTTTTAGTTTAAACAAGTCAGCAACAACTAAAAGGTATGACCTCTAATGCTAACTCTAAAACCTCAGTACTTGCTTACTGTAAAGCTGTAACAGCATCTAAAAATTATGTAAAAATCAAGCTACTGGCTTTTTACCCCAAAGTTCACACAAATCCCATTTTAAAGTTAAAAATGTTAATGGCAAATAGGATCTGAACTCTGAAATCTAATGATAAAACTTATCAGTTGAAACAACTGCTCTTGTCAACTGCTCACTTCTTCAATCCAGTTCCGTATGTTTATATCTAACAGAGAGCATCCAGCATGTGCACGTTGTGCATAATCATTACAGGAGGTGACTTGTAAAATATCAGCGTACATATTGATTCTCTGCTGACCAGTATCACAGAATACAGAGAAGCTAAGAACAGATTGCCCTCAAACACAGATACTGCAGGTATTGTCGCAGCTTAAACAGGGAGCAGAACCCAGACTTCACAAAGAAAGTGGAAGGTATTAACCTTAGAACAAACGAAGTCAACTAGTGTGGCTTCTTCTTCACCAATATATTCTATGATTTTCTTGTTGATCCATGGCCTAATTCGACGTTCCATTAGTGTCTGGAAAAAAAGCAAACAAAAACAAATTTCCATAAACTGTAACTGTGCTGAAACAATACTGCCAGAGAAGCAGCTAGAAGACCCAAACAGCTATTTAGCAAAGGATACATTTTCCTATAGCAGCAAAATGCTATTTGACATCTGCAAGTATTTCTAACAGCCATTCAAACATGTTTTTACAGGACCTTTTTTTCCCCTTCCATAAAACTGCTGGACAATTTGTAGCTATAATTCAGGAGAGACCAAACAAAAGCAAGCAAACATACTTCAGAATTAGTACTATATACGAGCAAGAAAGAAAGTACTTATGTTTTGTTCCATTTCATGATGCTGCTCCAATCCACTGGAGTACCAAGAACTTCAGTTTTCTATTCAGTTCCAAGGTTTGTTTGGAAAAAAAAATACGCTTTTTTGTGAATTGTTAAAAGAAATCAACTTACCGAATCCACAATTGACCAGTCAAGAGGATAAGCAAAGAGCTCTGGTTTTGCCGTGGGAATCTTTTCAATGAGGCTCTTAATATGTTTGCGTTTTTCTTCCGTGTTGACACTGCCTTTGAGATTGCTTTTATCTTCTTCTCCATAATCCAGGGGGACAAGTTTCCTTTTCCGGGGCACGTCATCACTGTCTTCATCATCAAATTTATTGAAAACACTATCCACAGCAAGCTTCTTTCTTTTTACAGCATTGGGCTGATTAGGACTATTGCAGGCACCTACAAATCAAAAACCAGAACAACATATTCATGAACTGCAATTGAGGTTAGTTTGCTCTTCACACATTTCTGGAGAGAATATATATTTGTATGTTACATAAATATATGGGAATGCCTAGGATCAGCGTTTTGATGTCTCAAGTTCTGTTATAAAAATGCCAAAGTGGGGTGTTTTTTTTGGACACCAGAAAAATTGTCAAAGCACTACAGAACTCCACACTCATGTTTCATTTGCAATTGTCATCAATTCACTGTGCTACTCTAAGAGGAAGGAAAAATAACCTAACTCCAGTTTTCTTTTGAAACAGTCTTTGTGAATAAACATAAGTTGTATCTAGGGCTTAAATGTAATGTATACTTACATCAATGAAAAGTTGCAATGAGTTTTAATAGAGCTATTTAAAGATTTAGTAAGATGAAAAAGAACGTGGAAATAATTCCAGCTCAGAGCATTCCTAAAAAGCAAGTCTTGAGGATGCCAAAATTTCCCTCCCTTTTTCCCCCCCAGATCTATGAAAAGTATCTTCCAGATAGGAGAAATTCAAGCACAGCGTATCTGGATAACAACAACTTGATACAGGCGTGTCAGAACACACAATGCATTTGGAAAGCTACGTGGCTACTTAGGTTGACAATTTTTTCATTCTGATCCCATATGGAACATTAAAATAAAAGGTAAACTTGCCCAATTTGAGGCTAAGCCCTATTTTGGGCCGATGCTCCTCCGGCTGCTGTTGATCAGGTGAATTTTCATGAGGGATAATAATGCCGCAGGGAGATTCATCACCAGGCGTGTTAGGGGTTGCATTTCCACTAGCAGAAGAAACAGATGGGGCAGAACTGATGGGTCGTAAAGTCGGTTTAAGGCAGGGCTTTTGTTCAGGCTCCTCCTCTTCTTCATCTGGCTCTTCTCTTTTTTCCTCTTTCTCTGCCTTTTCTTCCTCTTCCTCCTCAGACTCTGGCTCTTGTTTTATTTGTGGCTGCCTACGCCGCTCAGCCTCCTGCTCCATCTACAATGACACAGACAATTAGCAAAAAAAGCAGCTCTCTCACAAACAACGCTGTTTGAAAAGAATCTAAAGATCCTCTGCTTCCTGAAGAAGTCTCTGTTAGTCAAGAACAAATACATGCAACTACTGCCATTATAATCAGAAATGCTGATTAATCCAAATTCGGTTTTGGACTCCATTCAAGCACAGATCTGGAAAGTTTGTTTGTTTCCAGTGTTCTTACAGCTTATCTAGACTTCTTGTAAGAAAAAGTGAACATATCAGACCTCTTACACGATTTTGCTCAATACCATCAGAATACCAAGGGCTCTTTTATTTTTCCTGTCAGACCAACGGCTACTTACCCTTTGGAGTTCTGCATCTGGATCTGGGTGTCCTTCTGCCAGAAGACGCTGCCTAATTTCTTCTAATTCTTCCTTTTCCCTTTTCCTATCCCGTTCATCCGCTTCCATCTCTTTCTCCCTGTCTCGCAGCCTTTTCTGAAGGGCACTACCCCTACAAAAGATGGATTTTGTACTTTAAAGAACATTCCAATGGGAACCTTTGTACCACAATACAAAAAATACCCGATACACATATCTTCCACTAATTGAAAATGTAAGAGCATCTGGTGACCTCTCAATTTTAACAGAATCTAAGATACCACCTCCCAACAATACTACACAGAATTTACCCCATCACATTAAGAAGATGCAGAGAATGTGACTGCCAATCATAGAAAAATAATTATTTTATACTTGACAAAAACCAGTTCTACTAAATTAGTTTGATGCAAATTTTTGTTAGCCCAATGGTGAACGATCTTCCCTATCCTTTACAGCGTTAAAAAGCTTGTTCTTCGTACAATTTGCAGTTTCACAGAATATTCAGAATCACAGAATATCAGGAGTTGAAGGGACCTGGAAAGCTCCCCCAGTGCAACCCCTGCCAGAGCAGGATCACCAGAGCAGTCACACAGGAACACGGCCAGGGCTTTGGGTGTCTGCAGACAAGGAGACTCCACAACCTCTCTGGGCAGCCTGGGCCATGCTCCATAACCCTCACACTGACAAAGTTTGTCCTCATCTTCAGCTTGAACCTCCTGTGCTCCAGCTTGGGACCACTGCCCCTTGTCCTGGCATTGGCCATCCCAGAGCAGAGCCTGGCTCCTTCCTCCTGACACTGCCCTTTCCAAATGGATCCCCAGGAATGAGGGCACCCCTCAGTCTCCTCTGCTCCAAGCTCAAGAGCCCCAGCTCCCTCAGCCGCTCCTCAGCAGGAGATGCTCCACTCCCTCCAGCATCTCTGTGGCCCTGCTGGACTCTTTCAAGCAATTCCCTGTCCTTCTTGAACTGAAGGCTCCTTGTTGTGAATTTTTGAGAGGCATGCTTGATCACTTCTCTCTCCCCCCATCGTCTTATTTTGGCACTACACTGACAAGAAGGAGCAGCTACTCCCAAGCATTGACAAGTAGCAGTAAGGAGATTCCCTTTTCCTTCTGGCACTTACCAAGTGACACTGAAGTACTTGAGATAATTATATGACCCTTACATCGCCATATAATCACTCAACTATAAACTCCATCAGCCTCTGCCAACAAACCCCACAACTGTGTTAAAACTAACAGTGAAAATTTTACTGTCAGGAAAGACAAACCTGTAGTATTTTGGATCATCTCTGTCATCATCATAGTCTTCTAAGAATTCTTTTAACCGTTTGGCTTCTTTCGCCTGCAAGAAATTGAAGCGTAATATTATAAAAGGATTTCTGGTTTTCTTTCCAAGAGTTAAAAAATATAGTAATATTATTATTAAGTTAATTTAATATCTACTACGCTTCAAACTGGAGTTTGAGACAGAAAATGGAAAAGGTTTGCATTGCATCATCTTACAGGGATCTGTCAACTTGCTATCGTATGTTGGACAGCAGGCAGCGCATCTGTAACAGTCCCTGGGATCACGTCTCTGATTTGCAGACTGTTATCAGCATTTCCAAGAGTTTTTAAATATACTTCCCTCCCTTTTCTTTTTTTCCCCCCTCTTCATCACGGAAGAAGACTGAAGTTCCTGTTCTTCAAATCCGTAAGTCTGGTATTGGGTATTTTAACACAGCAGCTTAAGCATATTTATCAGTACTGTTTTGTTTCAAGAGCTGTGCTTTTTAAATATTATTTTAGTTATGCATAGAAAGAAATCTAACAGATACTTCTAGGATAACCACTCTCCTGCTGTGTTACTAAACAAAACCACGTAGCACTGTATTAAGGCACAGGCCTAAAAGTGAAGGGGGTGTGGGAGATAGAGAATATTTTCCCCACTCCAATAAAATGAAGAAAAAAATCAAACCACAAACACCCTAAAGCCATTCTTCAAGGAGAATATAAATTAGGACAGTCTAACCTGTGTCCCAGCAATATCTTCAACCCAACAGTCACATATTTCTATGGTTTTAAATTCAGCACAATATTTAACACTGCTCTCTACAACTGCTATCCACAGTTAGCATCCAAGAGGATTATGAACAGAAAATACCCTCGAGTCATTCACAAACATTTTCTCTCCTCTCAAGCATTTAGGGGGTAAAATTGGACTCCATGTAGAATAACTTGGTTTCTGATTTTATTTAATTTTTTTCCCCTTTGCTGTGTCTCTGCATATTTTGCTTTGAAGCAATTCCCAATCCATCTCCTACTTAGAACTCTGTCACGTCTCCTCTCCTTCTCTGGGAGCATTATGAAGTGATACAGCACCATCATAATTTAAAATAACCTCTTTACACTCCAGCACAAGCCTATGAGATTACAGAAGCATCTATATCACAAAGGTGTCTTTTCAGACACAACTTACAAACACGACATCGGTAACTGTGAGCATTTCACAACTAATGAACTAGAGACAGAAATTTACTACGTGCTTAGACATATTATAGAATATTATATTAGACATTATACAAGGTTCAGGCACATGAGCAGCTTGGAAGTAAAAAGACTGGTCTAGTTCAGCCTACACAACACAGAACATATGGTGAGCTTTGCTACAGATCTGACACAAACGCAGGTTACAGTTGTAACAGTACACGATGACCAAACCACAGTATTTTGCAACTGCCTACCTCTCATTCTTTCGCCTTCACAGGACCAAGCCACTAGGCTTTGTTTTCCAGACTCTCAAAAGCACTCCTACTTACTGGACATCATCTGTTACAAGTCTATTAACTCGTTTGCATAAAACCACACGTGGTCTTTATACAACATGAGAGCTCTACCATAAAGACAGCAGTAGAATGATCCATTCTAAACGGGACACAAAGAACAAGGGGGGGGGAAATGACACGTAAAACTGTAAGTCTTACCATTTCCCTTCTTCTTTCTTCTTCCCTTTCAGCTTCTTTTTCATATTCTCGACTTTTCTTCCGTTCTCTAATTTCCCAGTTTTTAAGACGCTACAACAGAAGAAAAAAGTACACGCTCCGATATCAAGAATGATAAGACCAGTGGTAGTACTGTGAAGTTAGTTTGGATTATTTTTTTAACCAACCGCATGAAAATTCAGCACGTTATTTAAAACACCAGAATAAGAAGCCCAAAGTTGTTCTGACAGTGACTTACATGTTGTGCCCCAATCAATGTAGTAAAAAGATTAAGAATATATTTAGGAAAAGAAGAGGGAGAAGCAATGTTGTATTTTATAATGGATGACTTATTACAACCCCTCAGAAACAATCTTTTCCTTGAGGAACTTTAAGAAGCCCAGCCTACCTCTTGATACGCAGCTTCTTTTTCCCGCAGTTTCCTCTCCAGTTTTCGGCGTTCGTAGGCATCTTCTTCATCCTCTTCTCGGTCTCTCTTCTTATCCTTCTCCCGTTCTCGCTCCCGTTCTCTCTCCCGTTCCCGCTCTCGTTCTCTTTCCTTGTCTCTGCTTTTTTCTCTGAAGGAAGAAAGAAGTCCAAAGTTAAGCACAGAAGCCTCTCTCTCCACTCAAATTACTTCACTTCAAATGCATAACGCACTATTCATAGCACCTTGCAAGTTATTCTGCTCCTGCAGCTGTACAAGATGATTAGTTGATACAGCAATGGACATAAATCAATACTTCTAATATATTCAAAACCCCACTTACCTAAAAGTAGTTCTTTGAGCACTAACAGTTAATAGTGGTATCTACAGAAACTAAGCATGAGCACATAGCAATTCTTATCAGACTGTGTCAGTAGGTCCCCCTAAATAAGTGACAGCTAAAACCCTCACAAATAAATGGTATGCTTAATAAACCCTTCACGTTTATAGAGTTTACAGGCAACTTGACAAAGTGATTTAACAGCTATTTTTTCCTGTGGCGAACAGGGAAAAAGCAGCATCTAGAGCCTGACATGAGTATTTACAGTTTAAGACTGAAAGAAGAATCTCCTTGCTTTTATTAAAGACAAAGCAAAAAAACCTCCTAACAACAGAAAAATCCCATAACCCCTATACCATAGGAAAAGGCAAAACCTACTTAAGCTAAAAGATACTGCAGACAAAAGAGAACCTCAAGTAGGAGTAAACCCACCCATGAAAAAGTAAGAAAGATTTGAGACAAAACCACAACGCTCAAGTCACGGCTGGGTGGTTGCTTACTGCATACTGCAGTCTTTAAATCCCTGTGCTGTGGAAGCAATCAAGGATTCTTTCAATTTACGTAAACTACAACATTTTCTAAATTTTTTATTTCCTGTTTTTACTCGTGACCTCCCAAAACGCCCGTTCTCTTTTGAATGGCAGCTGATCTGCTGAACTACACACTTCAACAGCACTGGGAAAAACTGAAATGAAGAGCGACTCAAGTGCATTCACCTTGATCTGCTCCGGTCCTTGTTGCGATCCGAACTCCTCTCACGATCTCTGTCACGGTCTCGGTCTCGTTCGCGGTCTCTGTCTCGGTCCTTAGTTCGGTCACGATCCCTATCTCGTTCTCGTTCACGTTCCCGTTCCTTCTCCTTCTCTCGTTCACGCTCCCTCTCTCTTTCACGCTCCCTCCTTTCTCGTTCACGCTCCCGTTCCCTTTCTCTTTCTCTCCGTTCTTTTTCAATTTCCTGTCTTTCTTTCTCCTTTTTGCCTTTTTCCTCCTCCAGTTTCTAAAAACCAACAAGAGAACTTTCATAGTTAATTCTGTAGTTATAGGAACCGGATATTCCCCGGCGCAACACACAAGGCTGGTAATGGAAAAAAACCCAAAACCGCCACTGATTTTAAAATATTAAATAGGGTTTGGTGGGTATTTTTTTGGAACTCATAAGTATGAAATCAAAATGCAGCAATCACAAGACTAAGTTTCGTGCAAAAGCATAGATCTACACAGACCAGCAATCTCCAACCTTAGCAGAGTGGGGCTGGCCTCGTATTCAAGCTGACTAAACCGCACGTACACAGTGCACTGCCAGTCACGATTCAGGTGGGCAACAAATTCCGTTGGCCCTATTAGCCACTCGGGTACAGGCAAAGTGAACTGCTAGCTGATATTATTAAATCCATTCAACTAGGAAAATACATTCCAGTGTAATGCTTACTGGGACAGTGAGTTGTTTCCCAAGAAGTCTTGGCAGACCAAAACCGTCCTATATGAAAACTCGGGTAAAGAAATTTATCCACTTACACGTGGTGCATGTGGTTAAACAGTGAAGAGAGCTGCAACCTTTCCCCTTTTCCCTCCCTACAAAAGTTCTAACAGTTCATTGGTAAGAACTGGACTCTGCAGAATGCAATCCTTAACTTCCACCACTGTAAGATGGAGAGAGTTAAAAAAAGGTTGGAAATAGCTCTTTCGAAACACAGAAACTAAAGGGTTACCTGCTACAGTTTTACTAAAATTTGTACAAAATTGCCACTTTTTTTTCAATTAGAAACAGTTCCTATGACCAGAATTCCTATAAGACAATAGAAAATACATCAACAGAATGATAGATAAATCCATCCTTGGAAGCAATTGTTATGTGTTAACTTACAGATGCTGTGCTAGGACATGGACCGCCAACACTGGATTAACCTTGCCTATAAGCTATGTTTCTGGGAGGAAGAGCAAGTACACGGTTCACAAATATACCAAATAACAACCAAATATACCAAATTTCAACCTGACGGATGCCAGAATACCACTTTTTTGAACAAATATTGAGCAGAATAAACAGGTTTATCCCCTTTGGCTCCACGTTTACCATCACTGAAATGAAATTAAAAACTGGAACAATGAAACAGCATTTTGTCTGGTTTGTTTGTTGTTTATTTTTTTTTCTTTTCTTTTAAACAAAGCATTTAAGACAACTTTAAAAAGCAATCTTACCTGGTAAGTTTTCTTCTGCCATAGGCACAGGGACCAGAGAACCGACAAAGGATTACAGAAATAAAGCTAATTCACTAGTGATTAATGTATCCAGTGAAACTACACTGCATTGATAGCACAATACAGGCAAACCAATGTTGGATACATTGAAATCACAAAAGGAAAAGGGACTAAAAATGGGAGGAATTGGTAGAAAACTGATATGAAAAAAAACCAGAGCTTAGATTCTACAGTATACACTGGGCTGAAAACCAATTTCTACAGGGTTGTATTTCACCAGGGGGCTTTACAGTGTTAAACCTCAGTACGGCCAGATGTTAAACTAGGTGGTCAACTTTTAAAAATCCAACTTACCTCAAATTTCATATACATTTAAAGAAAAGTTTACATACTGAAGTGGTCGATACTTACAGGTTATCTTAGATGTTCCACTAGAAATTTCTTTGGTTGAACTTCTGCTTTTTTGCCACTCAAAAACTTTTTTCATGGCGAGAAAATGATTTCTCAAGAGAGTGGTTTGGAGTTTGTTTGTTTGTTTTTTAAATATAATCAAACGTTTAAACATACACACATACATAAGTCTTGGTGTATTAAAATCCATTTTGTAGGTCCACTTTCTTAAAATCCAATTGAAAAAAATAAATTGCTCTATTTTGTAATCAAAATCTGACCTCATCAACTTCTATCAGCCTAAATAAGAGAATCTGAAGGGGTAATGGGATGGAAACAATATCAGACATACTGAAGTAATGAACAGAAATGAACAGGTAGAAGAATTATAAATCTTACCTTGAGCTCTCTTCAGACTCGTCCGTGCTGTAAATGGACGCCCCCTTCAATGCTGATACCCTGACAGTCTGCGGTTATCGTTTTATAAACTCATACCAAAAACATGCAAAGGTTCACTGTGCTCACTAGCCAGCTGCTAACGATTCAACAGCCCCTTTTAAACATATCCAATATACACAATGACTACTTTCAGGTAATTTTAAATGTTAAGAAATCCAAAATAGCCCCCCCCCCGATAATACAGATTAAAGGCAGTAAAGTGCCCAACAGCTTCTGAAATAACGAAGCAAGTTTTTTGTTTGGTTGGTTTGTTGGTTGTTTTGTTGTTGTTGCATCTTATTACTTGTTTGCATCTTAGTACCAGTGACAACTTGGGGCTCAGAACTGAACACAATTCTACTGACATTTCACCACTGACCAGTTTCGCGTTCAATTGCTGAGCTTCTCCAGATGATTTCTCCTCGAATTTTTCCCCAGACTTTTATCTCCAACAACTTCAGTAATGAGAAATACTGAGTACGTGTACATACAACAACGTGTAGTCACTTGTGTTTACATCGATACAGCTGCGGGAAAACACGGTACCATCTCCAGTGACTGCATGTGGTAAAGCTGAGTAACACGGGCATACTTCACCTTGCTGTACCTTCAACGTTTTCTTTAACGTTGATTTGGGGGGTATTTGGAAATGTAAGTGTGTGCTCAAAAGAGGAGCTTGCCGATAATTCCCTAGGCCAAGGACCATTCCAGTCTCATTGGGGGGAAAAAAATAGTACCACCTTTAAGCTAAACATTACAAGAAGAACATCACATGCATGGTTGTGCTTTACTACCCACAAGTATAATTTTCCAAAGCAGAAACATTCACAGATGCACTAGCAGTAATGGAAACTTCTATGAGTGGGAACCCTGAGGTGGGACTTGATGTGCACAAACGTTTCCAAGCCAGTTACCCCTTTGCATATTTTTCTGAGGGGGCATCCATAAGTATAATAAAAAACAGAAGCTCATACTTACATCCTATTCCATGTTACTTTCCAAGCTGTGAGTTTCATCTTGCATTAGTCACCATATGATCTCTATCATAATGGTGGGGGTCAATGAATAGATTAGCTTTATGGGAATTTACAGTTCTTCCATGCATCTAAAGTTTGGTAAGTCTGGTAACCACTGACCTAATTTTAATCTTCCCCCACTCTTAACTTAGAATTATTAAAATAAAAGACTTAAATTTAATTCACGTCTCAACTCTTCATAAAATCTTGGATTATGTTACAAATATACCTACAGAAACACACTCAAGTGTATGTCTTATACTGCAGCCCCGTTTAGCCTTTAGTTACAAATAGCTTGACTTAATGTATGTGTAGAAACTTAAGTTGCCTTTATTCACGTTAAAGTGAGAAGACTGCAAAATACTCAGTAGCAATCAAAGTCTTAGCATAAAGATGTCACGGGCCACTTTAACGTGGTAGTTGTCTTTTTTGACTTGTCAAGAACTATATGTATATTAAACCTAATATAAACATAATTTTAAGTGATACTGTAATGTAATGCTAGATTTTATAATAGTGGTTTTTTTGGATTTTGAAAAAGCCTAATTTGTATCAAGTGCAAAAACAAGAATACTACCTTGTGTGTGTCTCTGAATTTACTGATCTCTCTTGATATCAGGTCTCTTTTGTCTTCCTCCATTTCTATAGCATTTATATCCTCCTAAAAAACAAGGGGGACAGGAGGAAAAGCATTAAGAGCCATCTGTACAGACATAGGAGAAAACAAGAGAAAAGCTGAAGGTTAGAATTTTTCAACCGGTCTTGCAAGAGATAAATAAAGTCCTTCTGCAGTACCAAACCTGACAGGCTGATGTTAATGAGTGAAAAAAAAAAATAAATAAAAAAATCAGATGGACAAGAGTCACAAATCTGGCAACTAGCAGTAAACATAGTCATTGTCAAAGCCTACAATGTAAACGAACCTTGGTGATGAGTGGATAAGGTATCAGTGGGGCCACTGGAAATCTGCGGAAAATCTGCGGAAAAATCCACGGAGATTTTTTTTTTTAAAAATAGATTGCACACTACTCTGAAAAAACAATGTTTCGTATGTTCGCACTACAAAGCAATACTGCGTTGCTGCGATCTCATTTCTTTGACTCAACAAAATTACAGAAGAACCTCGCTAATTCTCCCTTCTCTGAGCTACTTAAAATACAGAGTGACGTCTCGCATCAGGAAGACTTCACTGAATTACAGGTATACTGCAGGATATTAGTACGCTACGGTAGCATCACAAACAAGTCTAAGCTACGCTTGCCAATAGAAGTGATCGGTATGTTTGCAGTGGGTAAGTCTTGGTTTTATTTACTCGCTAATTCGCAAAATTTGGTAGATTGCACCTCCTCACTAATAGTTAGTGCGAATTAGCGAGGTTCCCCCGTGCTTGAAAATGAAAAACCAGATTCCACTCACTCTCAGTTCCCCGCACACATTTTCAACTCCCCCACATCAGTCATGCCTTCATCCACAGCTACCAGCAGACCCTGCTGCTAACACCAGCAGGAGTCTTCTTCACACCGAGCCCTTTAGAGGGCAACAACCCAAAAAAAGCTGGCAAGTTTCCCACCCCTCACCCCCCCATATATCTGCATCCATCTTCCCTTTCCCCCCACCCCCTCCAGTCCTTCTCGCCCCTCTCCTTTAAGGACAAGGGAGCAATGAGCTAGGACCATCTCTTCACTCCCACCTCTATCCACACAGGCCAAAGATGGCAACTTTCAAGTTTCTTTTTCTCCTTCCCAGTATGGGAGGGATGATGGGGTGTAATTTCAACCCACGAGTGCTACGTATTTAAAAAGAGCTTATTTGTCTACTTGACTAGCTCAGATTGGTCAAATTCTACGTTGTACAGAGCTAGCAGAATATCCCTCTGTCCCAGGGACACACTCAGCACCCAGCTCTTCCACGGCTGCAATGGTCTCTTACAACGTTTAACTACCTGGCATTATTCATGGCCAGATATATAAATATCTACGTACCCACAGCACAATACACATTGTAACAATGCTTGTAACAAAAAAAAAAAATTAAAAAAATACAGCTGATAGCATTAGACAGTGACTCATTTGTAAATTTTCATCCAATAAAGCATCTTCTCCCAAAAGGAGGGAGAGGAAAGAAAAACAAATTCTCAGCTCAGCACTTTGGTATCTCAGGTCAGCCGTGGCTACCAATGTTGTGAGGAAGATACACTTGCTCCCTGAGGGAGATGTCGCTTCTTGCACCACACTTAAACCTCACAAGCATTTGAAACTGCATTATTGCCTTGGAAGAGGTACTTTGCAGAAGACTTAAGTGGGTAAAAAGCTTGGTCAAATAATTTTCCAGTCTCTTTCATATTAGGTGCAGAATGGTAGGTGTGAAAGCCCATTTTCCCATGGTTAGAAACTTGGCTGGAAAAGCTAAGTCTGAGTTTGCTCATTCTTATTCTCCCTTCTCCAGTTTGTTTTAGTCCATAAAAAAAGTAATCCATAGAAGCAGGTCTAAACCAGAACATTCATT